TTATAAATCACTTGACCCTGTGTTCACTTCAATTGTCCAAGAATTGTGACAAGAATATTTCTTTTTTTTTTTTGTTTTTGCATATGTTTTTAATTGAACACAAATTCTTTATTCCGAAAGTCAACTGAATGGGATTGATTTATTAAAGGCAAATAGGCTGTTCACCTTGCAAGGGACTTTGCACTTTGCGGTGGAGGTTTCCCTTAGCTTAGTAAATGTGATAAAACGTCACTTTGTAAAAAATACCCAATCATTTGCAAGGAAAATGAAAAAAACAAACCAGTATTTTGTTTTTAACATGATCGGATGATGGAAATCACCTCATTTACCAAACTAAAGGCAAACTTCCCCTGCTAAGTGCAAATTCCCTTGCAAAGTGAACTGCCTGTGCACCTTTAGCAAATGAACCCCAATGACTCTTTACATGACAGGATTGGAAATGTCTACAAAATGGGGCATTTAGTAATAAGCACCAAGGACAAAGAAAGGAAAGGGGGATAGGAATAAAAGCGAGAATGTTACAGAAGGAGGGAGCTAGCTGTAGAGAGAAAGTGATAGAGATGTAGAGAGATGGATGAGGTGGGGGAAACAATCCAGGTAAGTACAACAAGTAGGAGTGTGGAATGATGGAGCTTGTACTGACAACACGAACTCTCTTTTCTATCTTATATGATGGCAATCTCACACACTGAACACTTTTTTTTTTAAGGGATAAATTATGGTCAGTGTGAACTTTTCACCCACTAAGTACATGGAGCCCTTACAAGCGCCCCAGTATTCTGTCAAATGGTTTTTAACCTAATTCGTTTAGCAACAAGATCCCTGATATGTATCTGAAATGCTGCAAAGCTCCCAGTGGCAGAGGTTATCAAAGGGACAGGTGCATTTCCCCCCTGGACCAAGTTATCATCACCTGATGTATTTCTACAGGATCTAATCACCCTCCGAAAACATTGCATAGGGCCTTCTCCTTTACTGTTAGCAGAGAAAAGACACACTAGAGCACTATGGAGGACAAAGTTACCTTGTTGACAGATCGGTCCCTTAAGTGTCCTGCACGTGCTTTCTGTCCTTGTGTCCTTTTACAGGTTGCCAAAAAGGAACAGAACATAGGTAGGGATGATAGCTTTGTGATTCCTCAGGCTGAACGGGAGCTGGCTTTTCAGCTACCACAAGGCTACTTTGAGGCTCATTTACTAAAAGTAGATGAGAAACTTCACTGTGCGAATATTCACGTCAATTATTAAATCATTTAAAAAAGAAGAGCCCTGTTTACTTTGAATACCTTAATCTTGTGCAGACAGAATAAAAATAAATCTGCTTTTCAGAGATTGGATAGTTAAAGTGAATATTCAATTTCACACAATTTATCAAGTGAAGAGTCTCAATGTCCAATTGCATCTCCCCAACCTGCAGATTATTATTATTATTATTTAGTAGTAGTGGTAGTTCTAGTGACGACGATTATGTTGATGATTATTATTACTCTTATTATTTAGTAGTAGTAGTTCTAATGATGCTGATGATGATTATTATTCGTTAGTAATAGTAGTCCTAATGATGATTATACTTATTATTACTATTGTTATTATTTAGTAATAGTTTTAATGATTATTTTCATTATTATTATTATTATTATTATTATTATTATTTAGTAGTAGTAGTTCTAGTGATGATAATGATGATTATTATTTAGTAATAGTTCTAATTATGATGATGATGATTACTACTATTATTATTATTATTAATTAGTAGTAGTAATTAGTAGTAGTAGTCATTATAATGGCGATGATGATGATTATTATTTAGTAGTAGTAGGAGGAGTAATTCTAATGATGATGATTATTTAGTAGTAGTTCTAATGATGATGATGATGATGATTATTACTATTATTATTATTTGGTAGTAGTAGTTCTAATAATAATCATCATCATCGTCGTCGTCGTCATCATCATATCAAATCCATAACATCCTTAAAGAAGATGAGTAGCCAGCTATCAAAGTTCTTCTTTTATCGCCTTGATTCAAGACTTTTTGGGGGTTTTTTTGCCAATTTTTACTCTAACTTTGACACTTGGACATCAAACAATGTAACTTTCTGCTACACAGAACCAAACGGAATCTCTGACAAGGACTCGAAACCACATTTTAACACCGCTGGCAACAAAATAGCAAAATTATGATATATTTTAATGGAGTTTGTTGCTTTTTAATTGCCTTTAACTGGCCAGTCTTGTTAATTTGGTGACGTTTGCTTATAATAAGCTTTGCTGGCATTAATATCATTATTTTCCCTAACACAGGCATAAAATAGAGGACAAATAACATGTCTGAAAAGTGTCCCTGTTGTCTGTGCAATGACCCGACAATTTATTTAGAATTCCATTTTAGTATAGTCTTCTCATTTGTTGTACATTAGACAGTGATAGGATGATAGTGAGAGAATGGAAGAATTATGACAAGCGATGGGTAAATAATAATGTGTCAGAAATTTGTTACATTGATGAATTTAAAGCATGAACGTTTCATATATACATATCTATCTATCTATCTATCTATCTATCTATCTATCTATCTATCTATCTATCTATCTATCTATCTAGATAGATATATATGTGTGTGTGTGTGCTTTAGGTCGTGACGTGCAAGTTGCTTTTTCCAGAGTATGATTGTGGAGTTTAATTATAATTTTCCTTAGATGTATGCTAAAACGTAGACCTTATATGTATAATATATATACAATGTGTATTTTTGTTTGTATCGGTATTTATTATATATATAAATATAATTATGTATTATAATGAAAACATTTAGATAGATATAAAGCATGCACCACATTTTTGTGTAGATTTCTCAATTTTAAAACCACCATGGCACTAACCAGTGTCATTTGCACTCATATTCTTGATCCCAACGTGTAAGTTTACCATTATTTGTAGGTATTATTTTTTCAGTAGCTTAACTATCAAACGTTTTGTCCTATCATGTCACATATTCGTTACCTTATGAATGAATACAACGAAAACACGCAGACACGTCATTTTTTAAAATGTATTTTTATTTCTGAAAACGGTAAAGAAACGATGGCAATGGGCTGTACTAAATCAACATAAAACGCTCGTGTTTTTTTTTGTTTTTTTTTCATAGAAAAAGTAATTAATGCAAACGAAATGTAGCAAACACAACAATAAATAATGATCTAAGATCACAAGCCAAAGAAATCAATAACAAAAAAAACCAAAAAACTTTTGACACAACCAAATGATTTCCCTCATCCAAAGAATGACAAGAATTAGGCAAGTGGCTACATGGAGTGTTTTGCAAATTGGCATTTGGTAAAGTGTTTTTTTTTTCTTGAACTCAATGAGCAATCCACATGTTTCTAAATTTGTGTTTCTTTGCCATTATTGGCGCATTAAAGTGCAGTTTCGTCAGAAGCTATAGAAATTCGGGAATATATAGTATAAAAAACTAGCATTTCTCCATTATTTACATTCAGAAGGCAGGTAAGTACATGTTATTTATACACTCAGTGCTCGGACGTTGCATTTTGGAATCGTTGGAAGACATTCTGATTTCTGGAAGTGACTCGACAGAGGTCAAATCTAATGGCAAACACACACA